TTATAACCAGTGGTATTCCCAGCATACAGAGGGGAATCCCACATCACTTCAGGGATCTTTGACTACAGATCCCAATTGCTGTTTACCATGGTTCTGTAGGCTCTGCCTTCTTTGTTTTTCTAGATGAACTTTGCATCTGTGAACCAATGAGTGTCTCTCATCCATAGTTACTGCGTTGACAAGGGGCATTTCCCACTTGTAGCATCATGGCAGCATTCAAAGAGGCCAATTTTGGAGCATTTGGGGTTTTAAATTAGGAATGCCCAACCTGTATGATGACTAAACTATATAAATTAAGAAATTAAAACTTATTGTGTAGAGTTTGTTGCTTTTTCTTAAAACACAGTTCTGAAGGTTGAGCTAGATGCTGCACACCCAGCCCCCAGGAGTTTTAGAGTAGTCTAGTTTTAGAGTAGGCTGTCCCCTTCATCTCTGTGACATGTTGGAGTGCAGTGAGTGTGATTGGCCTCATCACATCCTAACCATGTGACTAGGCTGATGGAGTCTAGCAGACACGTTCATCACACTGGTTGGCAGAGATTGGTTCAGTGGTTGCTTAAATAGTGTGACTTTTAAAACTTTTGGTGAAGTTTTATATTGTGTCTTCTTATTCTGGGCATGTGATACAGGTTGGACATCTCTAATCTGAAAATCTAAAATAAACTTTTTTGAAGATGACACAGTGGAGCAAATAGAAAATTCCACATGTGACCTCTTGACGGGTCTCAATTTGTAATTTGATTGAAAGTATTTCCTGCGTATGTGAGCAATGAGGTTATAGTGTGTACGAGGTGTGGTGGTGCACTCCTACGTATGTGAGCAATGAGGTTATAGCGTGTACATGAGCGGGGTGTGGTGGTGCACTCCTGCGTATGTGAGCAATGAGGTTATAGCGTGTACATGAGCGGGGTGTGGTGGTGCACTCCTGCATATGTGAGCAATGAGGTTATAGCGTGTACGAGGTGTGGTGGTGCACTCTGTAGCCACAGCACAGAGGAGACTGAGGCCGGAGATGACGAGCTGCAGGCCTGAGCCACAGAGTAAGCTGGGTCCAGTCCATATCACTTAGCAAATCCCGTCTCAAAATGAAAACGAGTGTATGAGGAGCAGGTTAGTGCTAGAGCACCTCTGTGACACATGAGGCACAGGCTCAGTTGCCTGTACTGTAGAAATAAACCAAAGTACAAAGGTTATAAAAATACACAAATGCATTTTATGTTCTAGGTTGGGGTTTGTTTCAAAGACTTCGCATTATACATATGCAAAAATTTCAAAAACTGAACTATAAAACACTCTCTAAACAAATAGTTTAGAGAAGGGATAACTTAATCTTATTATTTTTCATTTTAAATTCCCAGGGGAAAACAATGAAAGTCTTATTCTACTGGAACAAGATGTAGATTTGTATTTATTTTGCGTGTATGTGTTGGGGCATCTTACTCAAGTCCCACCCCCCCCCCCCCCCCGCACGTTCACCACATACCGTGTCACTGAGCTGTATTAAACCCCACCCCTGTGGCAGGGTCTGTTCAGCCCCGACTGCTCTTACACTAAGGATGCCCTTGCTTCCAGCCGCCAAGTGCTGGGATTATAGCTGTGGGCCACCATACTTAGCACAAAACGTAGATTTTAATGCAAAGTCAGCAAACCTTTGGAGGATAGGTATTTTTTCACCAATGTAAACGAGATACAGTGTGAACCATGTGTACTATTTTTAGCAAGTGGTGTGGAGAAAAGGGGAGCAAATTCTGCATTAGAGTGATTTCTTTCCTCCAGGTGTTATGGACATGTACAGACACACAGTGAAGGCATTGTGTAATTAGCACACGCAAGTCACTGTCTCCATCCTGTTAACATTTTGTTTTCTTAATTTCTCTGTTGCTTTACCAGATATTAATTTATCCATCATTCTAGCCTTCTTACTTTTTGGTGCATTTCAAAGTAAGATTTATTATTTTTTGCTCCTGGACACTTAAGCACTCATATTATTAGCAATGTGAATTGTTGACCCTTTTGTTAAAGCTTCATACACAGATTCTTTGATTTAAGGCTTAGCTCAAATCCTGATGTAGATATTCTCATGCCAAAGCTAATGAGATGTGCATCTGTGCCTGTTAACAAATACCACTTTATACCCTTGCGATCCGACAAAAGGTGCATGTGCCAGGTCTCCTTAGCGCATTCATGGAGTCTTGAGCTCTTTCTTTACCAGTTGGTTTGATGTAGTAAACCAGTGACTGGCAATCTGTTGTTATCAGCCGGACCAAAAGAAAACCTCAAGAATGCACGTCTCTGGCAGATTTATTAGTGTAGCTGACACTTTCCACCTGCTTATCAGAAACAAACATACAACACTACTCGAAAGTAGGAAGCCATAAAATACTTGGAAAAGACTTAAACATTAGGTAATTGAATGAATTGTTTTCACAGTGATGTTAATTTAATATGTAATTCTCAGAATATATATATATTTCTTCAATATATATTGTGAATATATGTTATGCTCTTACACTGAAAGAGGGTCTTTACTAAAGATGCTTTAGAATAATATTTAACTGAAAGCCTGTTTGTAGGACAGTAAAAATCAAGAATTTATAGATTTATTTATTTAATGACAAATTTACACATTTACACATTTGTCATTAAATAGCATTTGGAGCGTTTCTGACTGACTGACTGTTTCCACCTTTAAAATATCAGTGATACCTCCTTGAGTGGACTATTGAATCCAAATACTCAGGCAGGGCTCTTTAACAGGTATGTTTGCATGACTTGTATGCTGCTGATTCGTGACAAGTGTTCTGGACTCCTACTGGAGCTGCTCAGCCATTCTTCCCCCACCCCAGTTTACCCTTCATGCCTAACAGTTGTTACTCATTTTACAATTCATATTTAAATCTAAGTATTATCCCATAGTCCATTGTATCATTAGACTTAATTGAATAGAGGTTCCCCCCCCCTCAGAAATTCCTTTTGTCTAGTAAGTACACGTGTAAGGGACATGTGTGTTTGGTTGTGTGGTACTGAGGACCGAACCGAGGACCTCACTTGTGCCAGTCAAACACAATACCATTGAGGTTTATCTTCAGCCTTTGTTTTGTTTTGTTTTTGTTTGTTTGTTTATTTGTTTGGGAGTTTTGTTGGTTTGGGAGGAGTTCATATGTATTTTGGATGGCACTTTTTTTCACAAAAATCTTTTTTATTTAAATTTTTGTTTTAGATTTATTTTTATTTTATGAGTGTTTTGCATCTATGTATGTATATATGTATGTTTTGCGTCTGTGTGTGTATGTGTGTAGACCACCTGTTTGCATGGTGCCTGCAGAGATCAGGAAGGGTTTCAGATTCTTTGGAACTGAAGTTACAGGTGATTGTAAGCCACCATGAGGGTACTGAGAATCGAACCACAGTTCTCTGCAAGAAGTACTTTGAGCACAGAGGCATGCCTCCATTCCTCTGCCTTTTTATTGTAAAGATTCTCAGATGTCCCTTTCCATCAGTGCCATCTTTCCTCCAGAAAACTCTACTGCTCTAGAAAATTTATTTTTAGATAAACCCTAATAACCACCTTTGGACTCCGTTGTTTTAAACATGCTGACCCCTGTCTTGCCAGAGCAGTGTCTGCATTGCAGGTGCCCCGTAGACGAGAGTGGGCATAAACTGCTCTTCTACTCATTCTCCAGCCTCCAAGCCCGAGGTCTCTGTGTGTCTTCCTCACACTGTAAGAGCTTATCTTGGGTTAATCATCTTATTTGTGTTGAATTTTATAACAGCCCACGTCTTCCTAGTAAGGGAGTTCACTTCTCATTTAATCAAGATTGTAGATATGATAGGATAGGACAGTCAGCCACACACCAAAGGATTGCTTAAGACACCTACTGAGTGACTGTTACAAGTTCGTCTCCCGTGCTGCTGGGATTGGGATGGAGACTGTGTCCTCTGCAGTGTCTGTCATCGGCTTCATCTCAGTGAGCTTCCGCATGCTCCCTGTGCTCCACTCTCGACAGCCACGAGCACCCTGAAGTCCGGTGCAGTGCTCACCGGTCATTTTCTGATGCCTGTGCTTGTTTTCTTCTGTGCCTTTAAAATGTTTAAAAAGTGGAATGAATAAAAAAGTGGTTAGTTTAGACATTTATAAATGATCAAATACCATGTTTTTAAAATATTTAATAATACAATTTATTTGAAATATTAAATAAGTTTAGTAAACAGAGTATGAGCTATGTTTTAAATTTCTATTTTAAACATGAATCTGTAGGTGTATGTATGAAAATGTTCATATGTGTCTGTGCACACAAGGATACATTTTGAAGGCTGCAAGCAAATGATTTAACTATATTGTCCTTGGAATTTTGAATTATGTATAAATTGTTCATTTCAATTTGTTTTAATTTTGCGCAATGAGAAATATATAAAACCAAAACAGGTTTAAAAACAAACTTTAGGAGTGAAGAGAGTTGGCTCAGTGGTTAAGAGCACATCCAGCCTTGCAGAGGGCCTGAATTCTGTTCCCAGCACCCACATGGCAGCTCACAACCACTTGTAACTCCAGCTCCAGGGGATCCAACACCCTCTTTTGGACTTGATAGACACTTGTACTTATATGTATAGACATGCACAGATAAATATAAATTGTAAATAATCAGTTTTATTATGTATAAAATGTGGGATGATCAAAAATCAGATGCAGCTAAAATTATAGGAATTTAACGGAGGGGAGCAGAGAAAAATATAAAGCTCAATAGAAATCAATAAAAGAGAAAACGAATTTAAGGAACAGAATCATTAACTTGGATGTAAATACAAAGGGCTGGAGCACATTTCATGAGCTCTTTTCTGTCACAGTCCCCAGTAGAGTTAGCAGAAATTAAAGTAAAATGTAAGTAAAGATGGAGACCTGTGAACAAATCCAGGACATGTTCTGCTTAAAATACTTCAGTTTGTGATGTGAAAATTGTTGCGGATTCTGATTTTGCTTTGTTTCTACTGTTGCAAAACAGAAAGAAGAGGGCAAGCTCCAAGGGCAGCTTAGCAGGGCTGACTCCAGCCAGTGCATTCGGGAACTGAAGGATCAGATAGCAGAGCTGACTCATGAGGTGAGTGATAGATGTCGGTCTTCACATATTTCTACTTCCTTCCTCTCTTGATGGAACACTTATTACTGACCTTTTCAGCGTGGACATTGTCTATGAATCTATGACATGGTTATGAGCAGCTTAGAAGAGTGCCTTTTTAAGCAAAGATTTTTATGTTCAAATATTAAGGATTTGCCTTAAACTTTAATAACTTAAAATGATCAATTCCTGGTATGTATCTTATTTTCTTAATTGTGATCTGAAAACACTTGGTAGTCACCCATGTCTTCAATATTCTGCAGTTATATTAAAATTTCCGTACCCCTAACTGACTGGATTTGTGGTGTTGCCGTTGGGTGGAGGAAGGTCTTCTCCCCCTTCATGGTGCTCTTACTGAGATTACAAAAAAGGATGCTTGCCTCATATCAGTTCAACAGATTTCTTTGCCTTTTAAACTGGCACTTAGAATCTCTAACATTCAGCCAATGAAATTTCTCAGAATTCGACTAGCTCTTAAACTAATTTAAATGATTTACCCAATCCGTTGTGACTGGGTCTTTTTGTTAGCGCAGCTTAGATCGATTTCCTGGTCTTTACTATTTTCTCGTGCTATGTATTCAGCAATACAGATAAAACTGTGTTTCTTGTTTTGAATATTTGTAAAATAATATTTATTCCCCATAATGAGATTTGAAAGGATAGCATAAACTTGATTTGCTTTTAAAAATGAAAAAAGGAAACTCCTTGACCACTATATGAATCTAACCCTCAGAGGAACGAGTGTGGGCATTGCCCTTTCCTGGCCTTGCATCCTTCGGTTGAGGCTGAGTGTTTGGTGAAACAACTTCCTGAAGGTAGTTAGCGCGAATATTCCTAGTGAAGAGGAAACAGAACTGAAAACAAATTTGACAGATTCACAAGTGGTTCGGTTCCATTTCCTTGGGTACATCAGGGCTGCTCCTATCAACGTTAGAATTTGATGACAGGTAGCATTTGAGGTGGTCAGGATCTTATGTGTGCCTTGCACTGTTAGTGAACCTCTAACAAATAACTTGTTTGTCTCTGTCACTGTGGGTGTTCTGCAAATCCTCCTCTGGGGACTTCTCCTTGTGCCCAGAGTATGTTCTTAAGGAATTCTGACTGAAATAAAGCAATTTCCCGTAAAGTGTAAGAAAACTAATATTGTTGGATTAAGAAAATTATATATAAATTGATTATATTTCTAAAACTAGCCTAAAAAATCAATCAACAGGAATTAATTTTGCCTGTCACATTTGACTAAAAACAAAACAAAAAAGGGTTTTCTCATCAAGATAGAAAATTACTAACCTGAGGTTTAGCTTTAATGCATTTATTGATCTGCAGAGGCAGGATCCTGTATTGTTATCTAGATTGATTTCAAACTTTCAATCTTTTTGCTTCAGCCTCTAGCTTTGGAATTATTGGTTTGCTCCAGTAACTATGTATGCATGTTGCAAGGTAGGGGTGTGTGTGTGTGTGCATGTGAGTGTGTGTGCGAGTGTGAGTGTGTACGAGCGCGCACACTTGTGTATTAATGACTTTGAAAGCAGTTTCTTGTATAAACTTGAAGAGAACTAATTTTTAGAGCATAGTGGTCTGTTTAAAAGCTAGATTCAAATTAAGGATTATAAATTTGTGATGAGTTGCAGTTCAGAAGAGCCATAATCCTGGTTTTAAGAAGTCCCTGGTGAGTCTGGCACAGTGGTGCGCACCTTTCTGGGACAGGCTGATCTGTGAGACCCAGTCTTGGGGATGGCGGACGACAGGGAGGCTGAAAACGTGGTGGGGGCTCAGTGGAGTCAGGATCCAACTGAGGGTTACAGTGGCTAAGTCATCAGAGTAGACCGAGAAGAAGGGAGGGAGGGATATGGAATCCCTTGAGGTGATCACTTGGAGATGCTTTTCCTCTGTGTTTCGCAAGTAGACTTTAATTCGTTTACCTGTTTTAGTTTATCACAAAAGAGGCTAAACAACAAGTGGAAATTTAAACCAAGATACTGGTTGAAATAGACTGACTGCCTGATGGGCTGAGATGGCTTGGTGATTAAGAGTGTTTGCTGCCCTTTTCAGAGAACCTGAGTTCAGAGACACAACCGCTTGTAATTCTAGCTCCAATGGGTCCGTGTCCTCTCCTGGCATCCTGAGCACCTGCGCGTGCACATTCCCACACAGACAGACACATACGCACACTTACCACCAAAATAGCTACTGCAAAGACTCGGTGGTTAAGAGTGCTTCGTGGTCTGGGGTTCAGTTCCCAGCACACACCTCACATGGCTTGCAGCAGACTGTAGCTCCAGTTCCAGGTGATCCCGTGCCCTCTGGCCTCCTTTGGGCACTCATACATAGATGTTGTACATAAATTCACCATAGTCTCACATATTTACACATAAACAATACGTAGATAAACCTTTTTAAAAATTGGTAGTATAATTACCATTGTCCAGTTCTGGGATCTTACTAAGGGGATTAAATACTGTGTCCCCTTCATAGTTTAAAGAAGGTAGTTAGCCAAAGTCAGTCTGACTGTGGTTGCATTTGTATCCTAGAACTTGCTAAATCTTTGACTTTCAATATGAAAATTTTCACTTAAATATTAGTATTATTGTTGATCGTGTGACTGTTAGCAGTCACTTTGTTAGCTGGTATTTGTTCTTACTGAAGGACATCCCGAGAGAAACGTGGCACAGTTGTCTTCCTCTGCAGATATGGCACATACATGTTATAGCTGTGACCCCTTCCCATAGTCAGCTTGATGAAGCAGATTGTTCTTAATAAATGTCTGGATACATCGGTGGTCTATAAAACAGTGGTGGTCTATATCTGGTGAGCACTCACCACGTCAGAAGATTCATTTTTCTGTTGCTGACCTTGGACGATCACTTCCCAATGTGGTACCGTTTTCAGCTGCGTGGATTGCACACTGAGACTCAACAGTGGTTGAGTATTTTCCCAAGCAGCATACAAGAAGCAGCTGGTTGAACCAGAATCAAATCTAGTTCAGCTTGTGCTCCCTATGCAATGTATTTATACAGACATTAGCTCTAATATCTGAATCCTTACAAGTTGCCATTAGCACATGAGCTGTGATATCCTCCCTGGAACATCTCTGTAGATATCCAGAAGAGACAGCGTTCTTCTTTAAGATAGAGAGTCACATGTAGGCAGTGAGAGGTTCGAGTGACGAAAGGAAACCCATGAACAAAGCTTTGCTGATGTCTACCTAGAAAATATGTGGTAAATATTCATTTTTAAATTCTTATGTTTCTGTACACCTGAGCCAAAGATGTGGTTAAATGTGACCAAAAAATATTCTTAATGCCCTAAAAATGCTTTATACAATTTTAATTGGTATGTTCACTTTGTTTTTAAAGGAGAATTTTTAAAAATAAAAACTAATAATTAGGTGACAATGTACCTAATTTTCTAAAAAACTACCAGTAAGAGGCTGGAGAAGTGGCTTAATTGTTAAGAGCACTTGCTGCTCTTTAGTGAGCAGGAATTCCCAGCACCCACCTGGACGGCTCACCACCTTCAATGCCAGCTCCAGGGGTTATGACACCCTCTCCTGGCTTCGAGGCCATTTGTGCTGTATGCACATGAACAAATACAAGAATGTGTGGATAAATAAATTTTTAAAATGTATATTTTAAATGAATGTTAAAGCCATTTGAATTTGAATATATTCAATATAAAAAACATTTTAAAGACTGGTAGCTGGGGATGGTGACATATGCCTGTAATCCCAACAATATGAGGCTAGGGCGTGAGGATCTCTAGGCTACAGAGTGATCCTGCCACAAAGAAAAGACTCATTTGGACAGTAATCTTTAGAACCAAAATATTTAGCCAGATATGACTGTGCACACTTTTAATCCCAGCACTTGGACATGGAGACAAGAGGATTATGAGTTCAGAATCATCAGCATCAGCACACAGGTAGTTTGAGGCCAATCTGAGCTAAATGAGGCTGTGTCTCAGAAAGCAGAAAAACAACACATAAACCAGCCCCCAAAATACTTGAGTAGACTGTATTGTTTGTTTCTCTCCATCTACCTTTGCATGGGTCCCTGGGAATCAAACCAGGTGATCTTGCTTGTGTGGCAAGTTCCTGCACCACTGAGTCTTCTTACTGGCCTCCATACCTTTAGCTGCGTGCCTGTTCTCCACTGTTTGTTTCTGTGCATCTTCATTTCCTTTTAGATACAGCAGGGCTCCAAGAATGTTCCTTTGTTTATGAAGAATAGCCAAGAATAGAACTGACGTCCCTGCCTACATACTGCATAGACAACATCAATGCAGTTCTGGAGACAGAATAAGGACTTTCTAATAAAAGTTTTCCTGCTTGTCCTGATGGCTGGTAATGGTTGAATTTAAATTATTATGTAAGTTATAAGTTGTCATTTGTTTTTAACCATTGGAAAAGATTAGTTTTCCCAGAGCAGCAGCTTCTAACTACAAAGGAGTATACCCTTAAAATTAGCCTTGCTTTCATTGGCTCAGCATAGACACTCACACCAGCTTTGGGGCAAGGACGGGCTCCAGGAACAGAGCAATCAATCATATATTTACCTCTGAAAATTGCCTTAAAATCCTTAAATGTTTTGTGTGGTTTATAAATCTTAGAACATCTACTTATGTTTTTAAAACTAAGTTTAATTATCGTGTATAACTTTATTTAGAACAATATCGCTACATAAAATGCTTGTTTTTGCATTCTTACTTTTTTGAACCTGGGAATCAAACCCAGGTCTTGCGTATAGCAGTAAACATTCTGCCACTGGACTACACGCTAAATACTTAGGTTACTTAGCATTGCCACTGTACTACATGCTAAATACTTAGATTAATTAGCGTTCCATCACTAATGAAATGCCAAAGAGTAATGAACTTATAAAGACAGAACAATTAGTTATTTTAACTCATCAGGTATGTAGGTACCAGTCAGCGATTGGTTGGTTCTGTTCTTAGGGACGTTTTTGAGGCAGCACGTCATAGCA